TAGCCTTCTCATGAAAAGAGGGAAATTATTTTCTCTTGTGTATGATACATAGTCAGAGCTGATGTTGTTGGCCTGATTTTATTCTAAATTATATCATCTTTGAAATGATTCTAAACATTACATAAAGCACTTAGGGAGGAGAAATGAACTGATCCCTGTGGATAAGAACATGTCCTGATTGTTCAGTAATAGTCACTGAATATGAACTGCTACCTGATATTCAGTAATTAATTTAGCTTACAAAATTTTTCTCAGAGAAGAGTATGCTGCTTCTTTAATTTTATTTACAATATTTTAAACAATGCATTCTCAAATTATTGTCTTTTAATTCCCATGTATGATAAATGTTAACAATATCTGAATTTATATCAAACAATTTTAACTTTCAAACTTAATTAAAGCTTGAGATAATTTCAATTTTGTTTAAAAATATTAAATTGTTCCACTGTCATGGTTTATATATGACTTTCATTAACTTGCAGCTCAGTGTGGTGGTGCTATGTCAGATTTCAGTGGGGTGATCCTCAGTCCTGGGTTTCCTGGAAACTACCCCAGCAGTTTAGATTGCACATGGACAATAAAACTGCCCATAGGCTTTGGTACGTATATTCAAAACATGTGAAAGAACTTTCTGTATCCATGACTGCATTCTTGAAAGGAATATCAATCAGTTTCTACTAGGAATTTATAAAATATTCACAAATTGCACATTAGTTTGTGAGTGCAAACAATTATGTAAATTGAGTAATGAAAGTTATATTATTGTGGCTTAATCCAAATATATTTCACCTTGAGTACTTGGATAATTGATAAACCACTGGATATTTCCTAATGATATATAGAGATATTTTATAATATTTTTCTGATGATATGTATGGATACAGACTGAGTTATATATGTATATCAATGATAAATTCACCATAATTTTTCATGGAAAATGTATTTTGTAACTCTTTTCTTCTTGTTCTACCAAATATTATGTAGATAAATTTTCTGGTAATCTCTTGATTACTATTCCAGTGAAAAATATGGATAGAACATGATCCAATTCCTTTAGATAGCCAACTGAGTATATCTACAATTGGTGAATCATGTTATTTCCATTTCCAGTATGATTGTATGAGAAGGGATTCTTTTGGTTAACCTGAGGAAGCCAACACTCTGTTAAAGAATTATTACAAATAGATAACTGTCCCATCTTTAAAAGGTCTCAAAGTCTAGTACAAACGGAGAATGAGTCATTTTTTTATGTAGTCAGGTAATTCCTGTGCCTTATTCAATAAAATCCCAAAGGGATTCTCAGTGTTGGAGTGAATAGCTAATTTGGCAAACATGAACACCTTTACATTTTGCAAAGCAAGGTCTGATGTTTTCCAAGGCCTGGTTGGGGATTATGGGTTGGGATAAATTAAACACAATTTCAGAGGTTGCCGTAGTCTAACACATATGACTTGCTTAAAGGTGACATTGAGGATAAAAATAACACTGGATATAAAAATATAGTTCAATATAGGGTATGCTAATGGATTTGAATTTTTTCTTTGTCCAGACTTCAGAGTCTGATGATAAATAAAAGTGAATCCAATTACTGGAACTAACTACTGATTGAGCTAATTTTCATGCCAGACACTAGCACAAATCACAATATACAGTAGAAGAACACTTTAGAAAAGCATCATAATGCAAGGATACTAACCAAAAGTAATACAATACTGCAAATATCATCAGTAGTCTACATGAGAACTCTTACTAGTCAATAAGTCTAAATTTGTAAAATAATGTAATCTCATAAGCAATAAGCATTAGGTAAAGCCCAAAATGTTAAGGGCTACATTTAATAGAATCTTCATAGGGCCTCTTCCATGGTCTTGAGGAAAACTGATTCTTCTAATGCCATCTTTTTCTGGCTACAGGCATGTTTGAATTTCAACCTAAGTCCTTCCATAGGCTGACCAGTCCAGGTAGGAATCTTTGCCTTCTTTAGCTGAGACAGGTGGATCTATTTTTTTAAATCCCTGTACGTTAACAGTGCAAAGATGAGTAAGAAGAATCAAGTATGGTCATCTACAGTCGGACTCAAGAGAATCATTTAATTTATGTCATTTCCAATAAAAATAATTTTCAGGTTTTGTAGGAAGCAATTTGGATATATCTGATTTTTCATTATCAAAAGCTTCCTTACAGTGCCGAATTAGAGACTGACAGTATTTCATTAAGATGGGTTGTATTAAATTAGAGTCACACCAAGCTGAACAAGGGAGATCTGGTAGCGTAGTGCCTAAGGCACTTGACTGCTAACCAGAAGGCTGTCAGTGCGTACCCAACAGCCACTCTTCGGAAGGAAGATTGGGCAATCTACTTCCATAGAGATACCACCTCAGAAACCCAAGGAGGGGTTGCTAGGAGTTGGGTCTGACTCAATGGCACATAACAACAACAACAACAAGCTGAACAATAAGGGAGGGCCATAGGCTATCCAACGATATTATGTGGAGTCATTTTGTGGTTCAAATGGTATAGAACATAGGTTTAAAAGTGTGAGAGGGAGTACCTGAACCCAGGACAAATGTAAAGAAGAAACTTTGACTGTTTTTGCTCTTTTAATGCCATTGGTCTTTCCACCAAGCTTGAAGACTGAGGGTAGTAAGGACAATGGAGCCTTTGAAAACTGAGGACATTTTTTACATATTTCTTAAATTACTTGTCCAGTAAAATGTGTTCTTTGTTCACTACAAAGAGGTTTTGGAATTCTCCAAGGAGGGATTATTTTCTCAAGGATTTTCTTGGCCACAAATGTGGTGGTAGCCTGACAATTAGAAAAATCTTCCACCTAGTATGAAAATCTTCAGATCATTATCAACACAAATTTATAACTATTTGAGGGCAGAAGCTCAATAAAATCAATTTGTAATACAAGCATGGGTCCTGAAGGTAGGAGATATTGTCCTGGTGGAACTATATAAGCTTTGCCTGAACTAAATTACAAGCAAATAGAGCAGTAAGAAGTAACATGGTTAGAGGAAAAAAAAAAAAAAAAACTTCCACCAATATGATTTGTAAAATCTGTAGCATGTTGTCTCTCTCTAAATGAGAGTTCATATGTAATGTCTTCATCATAGGGATTTGGAGAGATTTAAGAAGGACAGGTTTCTGGTCAAGTCCTTCTTGTGTATCATGATCTCAAGTTGAATGTTCTTTGTGATCATGGATGACTTGGAAGCAGTCTGCTTAGGTGCTTTATTGACTTGTTTTTTCCCTTTAATTTATTCTGTTTGAGGGATGCTTTATTGTTGATATGCTTGTGTCTTAATTTCAGCAGTCTCAGAGGGAAGCAATGGACTTTTAACAGGTCTGTCACCCAAAGGCTATTTTTAAATGGGTACCTGAAGAGGTCAGACATCCCTTTAGTTTCTATAACATCCTGAAATTATAGATCATCCTGAAGCCATAACATGAGTTAGGGTAAATATTGACTGTCTAGAAGCCAATTTTAAGCCTCTGTGATAATAAGTAATTCAGCTTGAGCTGCAGTGACATCAGGGATGGTGCCATTTTTTTTTTTGGTAGACTTGGTGAAAGCATATCTTCCCTGGTAACTAGAACTGGTAGAGTCAGGTCTGAAATAAGACCTATCTGTAAATAGTACTAAACCAAAGTTAACAAGAGAAGTTTTTTTGTAAATCTCTCCTTCCAAAAAAAAACTCTTCTGTGAAGTCATAATAATCATGGAAAGGGTAATAACTATTATCATGAAGATGTAAAAGAGTAGCAAGATTTAGAGAGGTTACCATGTGTACTAGAATATCAGAAGCTGCTAAGAGAAGGACCTCATAAGAAGTCAGTCTGCTGGCTGAGAGATATTGGATTAAGAAGGAAATTAAAATAGTGAACACTGGAAGAGGTACATAAACATAAAGGAAATGTCCTAAAACTATATCTGCTGTCACTTACACCAACCTAGCAGTGGCAGTTGCTCTAAGGCAGGGAAGGTAGCTGTAATAACCAACTGATCTTTGTTGTTTTCCTTTTTCCTCATTAAGGACTCCAAAAGCATTTTCCAATGCTTCATGTACAGAAAATGAAAATTTTAAGTTATAATTTGGGAATCGTAGCTGGAGTATTTATTAATGATTTTGTTAGGTTAAGTATAGCATCATTACTGTCCTCTGAGAGCTGAAAGGGGTCAGGCTCTGAAGTCCTCAGATATTG